GAACAATGATGTGTACAGTATAGTAGACTGCAGTAAATTCACAACCAGGCTATGCTTCTGTTGCACTTTCATTCTCTAGTTGGTAAGTTTTCACTGAAGAAGATAAACTTGGTTTGCTATCAGCAAATTCTAGTTGTCACTAAAATGGATGCAACAGTGGGTGGTCACAGTGGATGACAACAAATGGCCACCACATTCTTTCTTCACTATTTGCAAGCCATCTACTTATAATAAAAATCCATGGTTAGCTCAAGAGAGCAAAAAAGTTATCCGTTGGGCTTTGTGGAAAAATTGGTAGAACACTGTGCACCTCTAAATGTGTTCATCTGGAAACTTGCTACTGTTCCCCAAAGATGAATGATGACAATCTGGCTTTCCTCCTGCATATTCTATCCTGGCCCAGGGATATGCTCCATCTAGGGCTGGGATTCGACCTTATTAAAAACAATTAGTCTAACTTTTAGTACCCTTACTTGGTAAGGGTTGCAATTCAGTTTTAGTGTTGCTTGTTTGGGCTTGCCAATTTTTAAATTATGTTCATGGACAAAAAAATATGAAAACAAAACAGAACTTGAGCAGTTTGCTTTTTCCTTGTCATCAGCAGCCAGCATGACACCATCTGTTTCAAGAGGCAGGTCTCAAGCTGCTCAGAAGCATTTCTTGTTTTTGTGTCTCCAACGTGCTAAGTCAAAATCAAAATGCGCTGACACTTGGCATTTGAGGGACTCTTGCGGAGTCCCACTGGTTCTTGCCCGCAGGTTTGCGAACACTGGTTATTGATTTATGCTATGCTTTTGTATTCATTCTTAGCCATGTGTCCCTCCCTCCGTGTTCTGTGAATATGCTGCCTGTGGATCCTTTATGCAAGCTACACTTCACATCTTCCTTGAAGTCAGTTGTAATTACAATGTCTGGATTATGTTTCTTTATTTTTTATGTCCACCTGTGTTTCTTGCCCCATTAGTGTTTTCAATAATGGAACTATTATCTATCTTTTCTCCTCACCCTTATTGGTCTGATTTCCCAAGTTCAGTGTACAAGTCTGACAACCAGCATCTTTAACCACCACAAAGCCCAGCATGACTAGGTCATTTTCCTTTAAATTTCACATCACCATTACTTTCTTCTTAAATCATTAGATCCTTAGTTAATTCCAAGTACCAGTATACGGAATTGTCAAAAGATGTAATTATCTCTAAAACACTGTCACTGGATGGGATCAAAGGAAATCCCCCAAAACAGAGATGGGGACCCTAACACACCCACCTATAGTGATGGCTACAGATTCACTGACTTCCATTCCAGAAAATGAATTCTCAATGAGTGTCAGTAAGAACATAAAGAGGTTTATTGGCAGAATTTAAAAGGTTCATGTCCAAAATAGAGTATAGGCCCTCAAGAGAGAAGCATCTTGAGGCCTGGAAGTAGATGTATTTTTATGGTATTAGAGGTGTCCTGAAGGTGGTTGATGTATAGGATGTGTATTCCAGTCTGTCAGATTTACCCATGTGGTAGACCATGTTAGAGCGGCAGTCCTTCATACGGGTCTGAAGTTGAGGTACACAGTACAACTTAATAGTGTTTCTTGAGGAGGAGTGGTTATGTCTTTGGAATTTGTGAATCTTTAGAAAGTTCAGGTTCCTTTTATAGTTAAAAGGTCCTTTCTACTGGTGAAGGATGATGACTCATTTACAGGTTAAAAAGCATGAGAACAAGGCTTACTGTTAACTTTAAAACCCTTAGGATATATAGTTTCCAGTGAGTTTCCTAGAATACTCTTACTTGTGTGTTCTGAATCTACAGTATAATTTTAGAATTATATTTCCCTTTCTTTCTGTCTGCCTTTATTTTTTGTCTCTCCTCACATCAACTTACTGTGTGTGGTTTCTGTGGTATTAAAATCCCAAGGGCTGAACGGTGGCTGAATTGTCCTCAACACACCACCAAGTCGTATCTCGTGTCCATGTCAACTTTGAAATTCCTCTTATTAAGAAACCATCGCTGCTTCTTTTATGGATAAGTGTTCTACCATGCCACTGTCTTTTATTGCTGTAAAACACTTCACATCATGTATTTATTAATATCGCATAAGTATGTGTCAGTTTATGTACGTGTCATAAGACTACCACACTGAAGTACCAGGCTGGGGCTGCTTAATAAGAAAAAATCTATTTTCTCACAGTTCAAATGTCAAAGCATTAGGGCTGCTTTCTTGTGAGGGTGCTGAGGGATGAATCTAGCCCAGGCCCCTTGTTAGCTCATAGATGATTGTCACCTTCCTGTGTCGTCATGTCGCTTTTCCCCTCTCTATGTCTGTGTACCAGATTGCTCTATTTATGAGGATACCAGTCCAATGGGATTAGACTCCCACCTAGTGAATTAATTTTAATTTAATTATCTCTGTAAAGACCCTATTCCAAATGTAGTCACTTTAGGTCTCAGGGTTAGAATGTAACCTATGAACTGGAAATAATTTGCCTAAGGTGCTTATGCACACAGGTGCTGTGAGCCAGGTCCCTCTCCTGTTCCTGGGAATACAGCAGGGAACAGGACAAAATCCCTGACTCCACAGCCTAGTAAGGACTGAGGCTGATGGACAATAAATTGTCAGTATATGTTGTGAGGCCAACTGATGGTATGGAATCTAAACAAGGCAAAGAACAGAGGATGCCAGGCCCTAGGCGGAGTTGAAGGGCTGCGGCTCTCCATGTGTCACAGTAGAAGGGAGGCATGAGCAAAGAGAGGAAGAAGCCACCTATCTGTACAGAAGACGTACACTTCAGGCTGATGGAACAGCAAGTGCACGGACCTGAGGCAAGAGCGTGAATGGCATATTTAAGAAGTAGAAAGAAAGCCCAGAGTAAAGCAGAGGGAATTCTTAGAAGCTAAGTGGTGGGCAATGTTGCTTTAGAGGTATGGGGTCATGCAAGGAATTGGATTTTATTCTAAGTGTTACGGGAGGCAATTTTCAGGTTACAAGTAATGAACTTTGAGAAAGAAAATTGTACTTTTAGGATTTTATGAACTATAATTTACAACTCTAAGAAATACACAGCATGTATAATAAAATGTTTAAGGAATTTTCAGATAGACTTTATTGAAATTAAGAATTCCTCTGGAAAAGAAATTAACTACCACTCACCTAACTGATTGTGTATCTTACACATTCATAAAAACTATCTCCACTAAAAAGGAATTTAGAATTGGATTTTGCAGAAACCTCTTCCCTAGAGAAATTTGAAATTAAACTTTGACCCACGCTCATCATCAAGTTGTCTAGAAAATGCTGGTTTAATGAATAAAATTATTTTTAAAGAATCATCCTGGGAACTAGATAATTCACTGTAGAATTTCCATTTGTACATAAAACTTCTATTGTAGCGGCTTCTTTTGCATATTCCAGATACAGTTCTCTTAATTGTGATATTTTTAAATCTAAATTTTTAAATCCTGTGTATATAGTGCATTCTATTTAAAATGCAAGATTATAAATGATTACAAAATTTATGAAAGGCCAGAGGAAACCCATTTCTGATACAAACTGACTTCTCTGCACTAATAAATAAGAAGTGTCCTAATTTTTTTTCTGATTTCCCTCTTTAAAGACTTAGTTAAATATATATTAAAATCCAAAGATTTAGAGACTGTGTAACCAAAGAAAGCTGATTATATTTCTCCTATTTAGAAAAAATAAATGAAAGGCCACCCACTGTTTTGCTTATTTGACTCACATTTTCTGATCTAAACATAACATTAGCATTCACTAAAAGAGTTCCAGAAAACATAAGGGCGAAACACACTGTCAACAGAAGTTGTTTCTTGTATCATCTGTTAATATTGTTTTCAGTATCAATTTTTAGATTACATTATTAATAAAGAGGGGCAAATTATAAGTCCTTAGATAAAATTAGGCTTTGTTTGGGGTGATATAAAACTTAGGAAAATAACCTCTAATAAATGACATTACAGAAAAATTAAATTTTGTATAAGTCAGATCAAATTCAGAACCAGGATGAGGAGATATCAGCCATTATCAAGGTTTCCTAGTCACTTTCCTATCACTAGATTAAGATACCCAAACACTGCAAGTTTAAAGAAGAGGTTTCTTGGTTTCAGCCCATAGGTACCTGCTTTAAAGCAGGGTAAGTAGGCAGAGGGGCATGGAAGAGAAAAAGGTACTTAACTCACCACAAACACGGTGGAGAGAAAGCAGAGAGAAGTTTGGGAGCGAGACATCTTGCATCTCATGACCCCAGAATCCCCCAAGTAACCAGGCCCAGCGTGCTAACAGCACATCCAACTACTGGGCTTATCATTGAATGAGTCCACCAATGAGTACAGAGCCTCCACGATCTGACCAACGTCCAATCACGGGAGGCTTTGTAGGGGGACATTATAGATCCAAACCATAACACCAGGTATATTGTCTATCGCTGTGACAAATTAGGGAGAAAATCAATCCACAGTGGAGAAAGCTTTCCTTTGACTTGCAACTTTAAAGGTTTCAGTCAATGATCCTTTGGCCTTGATGCCTTTGAGGCAGGAACTGCTTGTAGGTTAGATCCTCTTAACTCATGGTAAGCAGACAGATAGGAAAGGGCCAGGGTTCCAACACTACCCTAAGGACACAACCTCTGTGACCTAACTTCTTCCACCAGGCCCAGTCTCCCAAAGGTTGCAACCACCTGCCAGTAGTGCCACACACTGTTGACCAAGTGTCTAGCAAATGGGCCTTTGGGGACATGTTAAATTCACACTGGCACTGAGTCTTTCACAATACGGAGAACTGTGTAGAGGCAAATTCCTAGTTGTCACCCTTAGGCACACCCATCTCTTACCCAACTGTTCATTGAAGAGTTGAGTACCTGTTGAAAATAAAAATTTATTTTCTGGTCAAAGGTTTAGTCATAAAACTGAAAGAAAAAAATGAAAGATTTAAGGGATGGGACAGGAGGAAGAAGTATGTAAAATTCAGAATTTTAATAAACAGTAAAAAGAAGTAATTTGTACTCAAATACTTTATTTAAGATAAAAACCACAAGAACTTCTTTATTTTAGGTTTGAAATTATTGGTGCTACATTAAGCAACCAGGAAATTAAGGACTTGCGCTGATAGGTGTCCATATGTTAAAAATTGGAACTTGGAAATTAGTAATCAATATCACAGTAGTGACGCATTTTCTTCCAAATGAATTGTACCATTCTTTGCTTAGGGATTTCAAGCTTTCTGCACACAACGTTGCTGTCAGTTGTTAATCGATGCTAAATGCTTCTAACATGTGTTATACAATATAGTGAGACTCCCTCTAACACCAAACTGCTTTAAAAAAAAAATCACTAAAGAAAATATCCTCACTTCATGGCTGCTTTTAATTGATAACCCTTATTTAATAGTTAACTTTTTATAAAATTGCCTTAAGTGTGGTACAATTCAAACTGTGAAGATCATCCTCTCCCCACCTCCCACACACACACTCCGTAAAACTTCTCTACCAGTCATTATGGGTTGCAGAAACTAAGTGGGAAACAGGACTTTGCATGTGTCATATTTTCCTGAATTCAAGCCATCTATGAAAAGTATGGCTGTGACTTCTGATGATCCTGGCATTTTCTGTCTCAAAGATGTATTTGTGGATATTTTGGGTCATAAACTCATGGTGTATAACACTGGGGCTCAGTTAAGTTGAGTTCAAATAAAAATTTGTTGTACTTTGTAGACCAAATACACATGGACTCAAATCCATCTGAGATAAACACCAGTGGAATTCCAACAATAATTTAATGCACAGCTTTCAAAATTTTGTTAGATTAGCCAGACATGGCAGCTCACTACTGTAATCCCAGCACTCTGGATAGCTATGGTAAAAGGAGAAAAAATTTAAGCCTAGACTGCGCAATTTAAGAACTTAGTGAGACCCTGTTTCAAAATAAAAAAGAGCTAAGGAGATAATTCAGTGGAAAGACCCTGGGTTCAATCCCTAGAAGCTCAAAAAACAAACCAACAGATTAAAACTAGTTGATTGATTTTAAAAATAAAAGCCCCATTTAAAATGCAGATCTTTAGTAACACTGTGAAAAATACTTTATACTTATTTGGGCTAAGCCATGTGGAATTTGGAAGGTTAAATGAAACAGCAGAAAGGTTCAGAATAACACAGCTGGGCTCAGCCTACTCAAAAGTTGAAGTTTTTTGATATTCACTAAAGAACTAGGAACAAATTATCCATTTTCAAATTTTAAGGTAATTGCAGAGTAGAGATACTGAAAATAGTTAATTTCTTCGTGTGTTGTCAATCACCTGGAGTTTGCAGGAGCTTCAGCTCCACTGGTTACAGGTCAAATCAGGATCCAAGCCAATTTCTGCAGGATCTTTTCTTTCTTCTCCCTTTGTTATGATGTAGAAAGTTAAATGGTAGATTAATTGCACTAAAATAGCATTGATAAACACTACCAAATTTATTTTAAAAATCAATAGGATTCCAGCAGGCATTTCTACTGAACATTTAAGTGAAAACTTCAATGTATCCCAGGGATTTATTCATGCTTATTATTTAAATGTTATATTTACAGCTTGACTGTGATTACTGTAACCTGATTTCTGGCTTAGAAGTTGTTAGTCAATCACTAACTCCAGGCAAATTAGAGCACTCAATTTACACACAACAATTAATTGATGTGTTTAGCTCATATAGGGGATTCTAATCTCCCTTCTATCCTAATCTCTCCTCAACTCTTTCCTCAGTGTTTGCTTGTTATGTTTGCATTACTGCTGATTGAATCCAGAAATACTCTGCCCTGAGTTACACCTCCAGCCCTTTTTTATATTTTTAAATCTTATTTTGAGACAGTCCCTATACTGACCTCAAGCTTGCAATTCCCCTTTCTCAGCCTTGTTGCAAATGTGTGCCACCGCGCCCAGCTAGAATGGTAATTTACCCATCGCCTGTTTAGATGGGAAAAGTGCAACTCGCTACCAGCATTTGTTTAATTTTCCGCTATTGAGAATTACTGTGTTTTGTACAAAGAAATACACTACCAAAACTAGAATGCTATATATACAACAATGTCTTTCATTTCCAGAAACTACCATTATACTAAGGCGATATGAAAATAATAATTAAAGCAAGATATTTCATGGCAAACTTCAGGTAAATGAGGATGATAATCTACAAATTATCTGGGATAAATGCTACACCCACAAATGCTACCTGTGAGTACTCTAGGGGCAAACAGAAAATGGGTAACAGAGTGATATCACTCTGAACCTTTGTAGGAGACAGTTGTGCGCAGAAATCCTGTTCTGAGAGCCTAGAAACAGTGTTGAATGAATCACCACAGATGTGCTTCCTCTACCTAGGTCCAAAGAATACATATATGTGCACGCATGCATGTGCACACACACACAAACACACTTGCTCACAAGTATGCTGCACTGGTCAGGATTCTCCAAAGAAACAGAATCAGTAGGCGATAACATACATCAGACATCTGTATTACTACTAGGATTGGCTCATGGAATCATAGAAACAAGAAGTTTCTCAACCCTATGTCTGCTAGCCAAAAACCCCAAAAAGCTGGCAGTTTAATTCAGTTCAAGTCAAATGGCCTAAAAACCAGGGAACCTGATGGCATACATCCCAGAATCTGAAGGCCCAAGAAGAAAAAGCGCCAACATTCACAGGCAGGAAAAGATGGATGTGACACCCTGAGAAGAAAGAAGAGAGAAGGATGCTGGCTCAGAAAGGCCCTCCCTCTGCTGTTTTGTCCTTGGAAGAGTGGAAGATGCTAACCCATGTTAGTGAGGCAGATATTTACTCAGTTTATCAATTTAAGCACTACCCCCACTGACACATGCAGAAATAATGTTTTACCAGCTTTCCGGTCATTCTTCAGTCACATTAACATAAAATTAAACACAGTAACTATATTCATTCTTAATTTGATAGTGTTATACATCTCCTTAAACCATCATCTCTAAATAAAAACAATAATAAAGTAATAATTGTACTTAACGCACTTTCACTGTCCTGCAGACAACCAGACACACTAATTCTTGCCCCAAAAAAGGAAATAAAGTCTTTAAAAAATGTTTATCAGTCTTAAGCACGATGACGTAAAGTTTCCAGACACTTAAATATTAATGTAAATTTTAATACTCCTCTTGGGACACAGGGTCTACGTAGTTAGACCCTGTTTCCAACAGAATAGAGAGGAAATACAACAATTAATGGTCCTCATTTCTCTAATTTGCCACATGATTGCAGCTAATATTTATAGCTACTTGGACCCAACGACATATATATCACTTCTATTTGAAGATGGAATGCTTCTGTACATGCCCAGCTTTATGGCTTGATGCATATGTATTACCCAGTTCATGATAAACATCCCAGAGCATACAATAACTTGGTAGTCCATAAATTTCAATTCACATACTAGAGAAGACCCAGTACCAGGCAAAGAGCTGCCACTCAAAGGCAAGGTAGTAATCTGTGAATGATGGCAGGACCTTACTACAAAATCCTAAAAGTTCACTTATGGGGACCTGCCAAAGGCTTCAAATTGAATCACCATCTGCCACTGACACTTGAAGCACCATCAGATCTGTGGCATGACGTGGCCCAGATAACAGAGCAGTTTGCACTGCAACCCAGAACTGTTGCAGATCCTTCTTTTGTTCTGAGTCTCACTCAAAAGTAGAAGACCTTTGGGCCACCAGAATAACACACCCAAGTAAGGAATGTGCTCCCTCTAAAATTAAAATCCCCCCAAATAAGTGTTGTACCCTTTCTTGGTTGTAGAAGATGCCAGATACAAAAATTTATTCTTCACCTTAGATGGAATACCTAGTCATGCTTCCATACCACTAGGGCCCTAGAAATTTCACAGAGAAAGAAGTTGCCTCACTTACAGTTGAATTTATTTCTTACCCTCACACACACAAATATACTCATAAGGTGATAATAATTTTCTGCAGGACTTACCATGTGCTCCTCCCCTTCCAGACATCGTGACGCCATCCATACAAGGTGATACAGCCAAGGGTACTTATCAGAGCCATGCGTCTGGCTTTCCAGCTTCAAAATGGTGAGCAAAATGAACCTGTTTTCTTTTTTAAATACCTAGTTTCAGGTTTTTCACTGGTAGAAGTTAAAAAACAGACTGATGGGCCTAGAAGCAAAGAAGAGGAGAGAGAGAGAGAAAGATGATAGATTGATAAATAATAGATGACAGATATGTATAGATAGAAGGCAGAAAGGGAGAGAGAGAGAGATAAAGAGAAAGATTATAAGATTGGCTCTCATGATTATGGAGATCACCGAATTCCATGAACTGCTGCAAACTATACCACCGGAGACTCAGAAAAACAAGTGGAATAATCCATTCCATGTCCAAAAGGAAACACTGGTGTCACTCTTAGTCTAAATCTTAAGAACTGAGAGCTGGATAGGCTGGTGATGGAAGCCCCAGGCTCCAAAGTCCCAAGAAACAGAAGTTCTGCTATCTATAAGCAGAAAAAAAAAAAAAAAAAAAAGAAAAGAAAAGAAAATGGACATCCTAGCTCAAGAAAAGGAAAGCCCAGATGTTGCAATGCAAATCTGTAACCCTAGCTACTTATGGGGTTAAGGTAAAAGGATCTCAAGTTCAAGGTCAGCCTGGGTAACTTAGTGAGATCCTGTCTCAAAATAAAATAAAATGGGCTAGGATTGCAGCTCAGTAATAGAGCACTTACCATCTGTGGGAGTCTTGGGTTCAATCTCTAGGAAGAAAAGAAGAAAGAAAGAACGGGTGGAGGGAAGAGAAAAGAAAATTTTACTGTTCCACTAAGTTAGCATCACCTTTCCAAATGACTCATCAACTATTTCATGGGAAACATCAAGAGTCTGTGTGGTAAAATTCTTTGAATTGCAGCCAACCATGAATCTTACCTTAAAATCCTTGCCTTGCTATTTTCCCTATCCTAGATTTTTGTATCGTGATCCACAACAAATTCTAATCAAATGACCACTTTGAAGTCATTGCCTTAAATCAAAATTAAAATTCTCAATAAATTCTGACCTTGCTTTTTCCCTTCCAATACACAACCTAAATTCACTTCAGGTAGCAAACAATAAAAACAAGCTTTGTGTCATCATCAGACTGTGTTGGTGATAGTAGGGTAGCCAGCATGCCTTCCTGCTTCACTTTTTTCCCCTCCTTGTGGTCATTTTTAAATTCTAATTCAAATCAAATTTCCTCCATGAAATCCCCTAGAAACTGACATTATGTGACTCGTCCCAACCATAAATTTCAGAGGTCTAAAATCATCCCTAATGATTTGCTGCTTTCCAAACATACTCTTCAGTGTTTCTGTGTCTTTGCCTTTGTTTTTCTTAGCCTTGAAATCTCTTCCTTTCCATTTTGACCCTGCAATTCTCACTTGCCCTTCAAGATTAAGTTCTAAAGTCATGCGCTATGCTCTTTGAAGTCTGACAAATATCTTCTTCTCAATTAGGAATATTCTTTCCACAGCTCCCAAGACATCCTGTGCTCTCCTCTATTAGAGTAAATATCACATTGTCATGTAGCTGTTTAATTGTCTCTCATCCTAAGGGGGCAGTGAGTCCCTTGAGGGCTGAGATTTACATTCACAACACCTGTCACAGTTCCAGGTGCAGGTTAGTTCTCAAGAAATGTTTGCAGAATTGAAATGAAATAAATTAGACTCACTACAACCTTAAAAACTAGTCTAGCTTTTTCAGGAAAACCTAAATTACATAAAATTATGCTCTTTTTATTGAGTATACTACATTAAGGTGCAAGTGTGATTTTTAGGTAATCATATCAGGCTTTTGTTATGAACAAATTCATATGTATCCAAATTTTTATCATCATTTCTTCTCCTCATCCTATTAACAGTATCACTATTAAATAAAACATAATTAGATTTGCTGCTAGAAACCGTACCTTCTCAGCTTGATCAGCTCTGCTCTTCCTTTTCTCAGATGATAGACTCATTTATTGTTATATATATATATATATATATATATATATATATATATCTTAAGAGAAATCGAGGAGCTACAATAATTATCTAATGCAATAAATAGTCAAGAAAAATGCTCTATGTCACTGTAAGCCCCAAGTATAAGAACAAGTGAAGAACGTGGCACTTAACCTGGTGCAAAATATTGGATCCTTGAGGGAACATTCAAGGAAAAAAACCTGTGACCGGATGAACACTTTGAAAATACATCACATGATTGACCAAGAGTAGAAAAGAGATGGACTCAGGTGTGTGCTTGAATAATCGTTTTTTGCAATCAGGTAATTTTTTGAAATGAGACTTATGGGAACTGATGATGAAAAGCAGAACATTTCCACTCCCTAAAGCCTATTTTTCAGATTCAGAACTTGGAGAAAGGAAATTATTTTTAAATTAAAATGCTCTCTCCATAAAGATGATTAACAAAAAAGGATTTATCTTGACTAGAAACTTTTAAAGGTGTGTACTAAAGGAGAAAGGAGAAATGAGAAAGGCCAAGTCTAATAAGGAATCTCCAAACCCATGTCAAATACTGGACTGTCAATCACATTTCGCCATTAAGGTAACCAAACCATATGGATCAACTTTAAAATCCAACTCCATGTTGTTTTAGAAACAGAATAGCTCACCCCTGAATGAAGCTGAACAATTATTCACCAATCAAATTGCAAATAATTCTTTGACCTGAAAGTTTTGAGACACAAAACTAACTAGAATTCAAGGCAAGTTTCCCTATCACAGAAGGTTAAAAAGACTTTACCAACACAAAGTACTGAGATATTTTATATTTGAAAATAGTTTCCTGTTCTCCTATTTGCTTTGTTCTTTCCCAAATGCACAATTGCTTTTGATAAAATTGTGTGTTTAATTGGTTTCTTTATAATAAGATTACTCATTATAACATAGGAACTAAAGGTAATTATTACAAACATTGTAATCATATATATATCCATCACAAGTATACACATCTTTCTTACTGTATACACTTTTTAAAATAGTAAAAAGTATTTTGTTTAAAAGGTTAATTTTGAGATTTGAAGCAATTCATCCCAGTCCTTTGTAAAAGGCCATGAGTGAGAATTTGAATGTAGGAAACTGTTAATGAAGCTATTAAGAATCAAAAATAAGGTCATGGAAGATTAAGGGCATTATGAATGTTCTTTAAAATAGGAAGAAATAATAAAGAAAGCAAAATATCTGAAGGAAACATTCCCCTAACCTAAGACTGAAAAATCCTACATTGACTAAATAATTTTGAGAAAGAAATAACCAATGAACTTCCAAGAATGTATACCATATTGTCGCATCTTTCCTACTACTTTAGAAATAACACCTTTCCTGAGCTAATTTCTGCACCTATGCTTTAGGTATTTCATTTCCTGGGTCTCTGAAGTATCTTCTCTCCTGTAAAAATAAAACTCTTCCTTTCCATTGGATCTTTTCTATCCACAATTATAGGTGCTGCATATTATTCATCTTAAAAACATTCTCTTATCCCTCTACAACACTCAAATTTTCTGCTCCCTTCTTCAGACACTCTGTTAAAGTGTTTTCTGAACCCACGGTTTCTCACCTCCCACTCACTAAAAATTCACACCTGTATGGCCTCTATAACAAATGTGACTTTGAGATCACATTTCAATTATATATCATTATACTCAGACATATTGCAATGTTAGGGCTGCCTAACAGATGTAATACTTACTCTCTAACTCAAAATATACTCTTTCTTTTGGATTCTGTCTAGTTTATTAATGCTTCTACAGCAACTATTTTAGACTAGTTACTTCATAACTGAAAATATATTTCTCATAGTTCTGGAGTCTGAGAAGTTTAAGATGAAGGCATCAGTAAATTTGGTGTCTGATCAGTCTCCTTTTTGGATTTTAAAATGATATCTTGTGTCAGATATGGTGGTATATCCTGGTAATCCCAGCATCCCAGAGGCTGAGACAACATTAAGTCAACCTGAATTTTATACACAAAACTCTGACTCAATAAATACATAAATAAAGTGGTCATGCCTTCTTGTCATGCCCTCCAAAGGGAACGAATGCTACATCTTCACACAATATAAGGGATGGAAAGAGCTAGCTAGTTTCTCGAATTTTTTATAGTCATGAATCCCATCCATTAGACGTACCCTTCGCAGCCTAATCATCTCCCAAAGCCTGTTAATACCATTACCTTCAGCGTTAAGTTCCAAAACGTATATTTGAGATTGTGGCTAGGAAAATGCACTATCAACTTGACTGGCTTGGAAATCTGCTCTGGGCTTGATGTAACACACCATTATATATGTCTGGAAGATCATGGAGGCATGACCGTGGTGGTTTACGACTGGTCTCTTGTTCATTTTGATGTTACTCTTCCCCTCCTCTTGTTTTCTGCCAGTGTGAACTAAGCACCTTTGCTTTGCAACATCCTTCCTCCATGATGTCTCTGTTGGAGCCAGCTGATTATGGACTGAACCATGAGCAAATTAAACCTCTACTTTAAGCTGTGCGTTGTGTCCCAGCAATAGGAAAGCTAACTAATATAAAAACTGGTTCAGGAGAAGTGGGGTTGTTGTTGTAAATAAAGCTGACCTTGTGGTTTAAAAGTCTTTGCAGGAGGAGTTTGAAAAGATGTGGTGATGCCAGGTGGAGTATTCCTAGAATGCTATGAGCAGAGCTTGATGGGTATTTTTGATTGAAGATTAATACCAGAATGCTGACAGGGCAGGTTCAGGAGGCTTCAGTTTGGGAATAAGGATTCCATCAGCAGCTGCAAGTCATGTGTATTACACCCTGAAAGTAAATTTGTCTTCATTTAGCCCATGTCCTGAGACTTTGAAATAAACTGGAACTAAGAGGATGGGCGAATTAGTCTGGTGGAGGAAATTTCATGACTGTCATCATTCAGGCTGTGGCATGGGTAATGCTAGCTGCTTTTCACCAGATTTGTGGTAAGAATCAAGGGCAAAAGGCAGAGCATAAAAATTTGAAAACTTTAAATTTTATCCAGAAAGACCCACGTGTAAAGTTAAGGCAAAGAAGGTGTGACTGCTACAGAAATTAGCACCACTCAAATGAATTAAGTACTTTGTACAAGAAGAAGAATGATTTATTAAGGGCATCTCAGCAATCAGCAAAACATCACCCATTTCAGGTTTAAGGAAAAAGTTCCAACCTTTCTTTGGATAATAGAGCCATTGGAATCCTTGCTCAGAAAGATTCTCCCAAAGAATTGGTCCCCAGTTTTCATTTCACTGTGATCACTCATCTAGGCACGCAGAGGCAACTCTAGTCATGGTCCAAAAGGGCCTGACTACTGCTGCCTCTGACAGAGGACTTTGGCATTGTCCATGTCATACTAGTTTTGCTGAAATGGAGAATGCAAAAGACATGTGGTTAAGGAGATATGCTATTGCTCACCATAGTTTATAAGGAGCCTAACAGGTATCCAGTACATAAAGACCACTTAATAAATGTGTGTTTACTGAGCATCTTTTATTGAAGAATGTCTACTACACATACTTAATATGATAATCTGTTTTAAAGTATTTACCTGTATATCATCTTTATGTCATTAAATTTGTGATAAAATATGCCAGGATGGTGGTTGGATAACTCATATAACTATTTTGTGTGAGGATAGGTATTATAAACATAGCATAAGTGTTCTGAAAACTGTGGGAAGTAACAAGACTCCAGTTATTTAAGAAAAAGATATTGTGAATCCACTAATCAATT